CTTTGAGCTGTACCTTCTTGCAACTGGTTTCTGTGGCACTTTTCTACTGTATGTTTGTGCTGATGTCTGCAACAGTAACAGATTTGACCTTCCACCATTAACAGAGCTGTGATAAAAAGAAAGCTTACAAAAACAGGCCTGCCTTCACAACTTGTACTAAACTTGAATGTTTTTTCAAGTGAGTGGATGCAACAGGACTATTAATTAAGTCAGTTTATAGGTTCACATCCACCTTGGTGACATTCACCCATGCACACTGTTCTGTGAGAGTCCTGGAAATGCGCTGAATACTGACATAAAGCTAAACAATCAGTGTTCCACATGTAACACTTTTACAGTCAGAAATTAGAAAAAAAATGGGAAGAGAACCAGAAGCTGTGATGTGATGCAATAGTGATTAAATGTTTTCCCAGAGACACGTAAGAGGCTGGTGTCAAGGCTGAAAATAGGAGTCCAGTAATATCACTTCAGAGTGATGGCCCACTCATTTTAAATATCTTTTAAATTACGCCATCTGTCTTGGTAAGATCAGAAACATGGCAGACCACCCCAAAAAATGTGTACAGAAACAGTTCTATTGACTTGGATATGGAAAGGAAATGCAAGAAAATGACCAACTTTGGACGTGACAGAAACTATGCGAAAGTATACCCTTTGTTATGAAGGCATAACTGCACAACAGCCTGGTCCTTGTTTTCTTCCAGATTCTGTCTATCTGCATTTTCTGCTTTTCTGTCATTGCTTATTCAGAGACACCACAGGTTTTGTTGCTGGCATCCTCATGGCGTGGCTGATCTRTAAAGGCCGAGTCTGTATACCAGTGTCTGCTGGACTTGATGTAGATTATTTTCCTACCAAGAGCTCTAGAAGAGATTGAGCTATGCCAACAAAAATCTTAGTGCTTGCTTTGTTTGAGGGTATGGTGTAGGCTACATCAGAGAAGTGAGCCTTTGGAAGGTATGACATGTCAAGAATATGCTTGTACTACAGACGAAAGTTCAAAGAGGTAATTAAATGTAAATTAATATATTCAGGTAACAGGAAAAGTCATGTCATGAAACTCTGCTAATTTCTCTCAAGAGGGAAAATAGATGAGTACTCAGAAATTTGAAGATCCAGGCATTTGCTCAGATCCATTTCTAAAAGTTAAAATCTGCCTTTCTTTTTGAAAAGCATGTAATACCCTCAGAGCTTCTGTGGCACAGTTTGGATCACAAACACTTTGAAGTATCAATGTCCTTTAGCTGGATGGCTGCCTTTCCCCCAAGCACAAGTAACATACTAGCTGGTGGTTTTGGCCAAAGTAGTCATGTTTTAGCCAAATAAAAAAAAATGAAAATATGATACAATAAAGAGAATCAAAGCTTTCTTTCCTTGTCATGTGGGTCACAAGAGGGCAATCACCCATTRCAACAATGTTCTCCAGTTTATCATGCCGAAATTATTAACCATTTTGCTACTGAACACTTGCAAAGACAAAACTTTAAAAAGCCTGTGGGTGAAAAGTAAACTTATGGTGCAGGTTTGCCCTTTATTGTTGACTGGGGACCTAAGTGTCCGAATTACTTAATGGCCGGGTAATGCAGGTCAGGCATGTACACGCAGTAAGGAGTGGCCAGTGCTGGCAGATGAGGGAATGAATGCAGAGRTGCAGAGCTGTGTGGGCTGCCCGAGGCTGCTCACCCCACAGCTCACATTGCTGGTGTCACTGGGAAAGGAGACCAAGCTGCTGTCCCCTTCACCTCCTTGGTAAATCTACTCCTTTGTTTTCTTGCTGGTTGGAGCTACCTGTCAGGTTGGAATCTGGCAAGATCAGGCAAATAAAAGATATTTTAATTTTGCTAAGTAAACACCATCAAAGTCATTTGTTTAGGAAAGAAAGCAAAGTCAGTCAAGAAGGAAAAAGCAAATGCTTTCCTTTGATTGGTTATGCCTTTTTAATGCAGATCTAGTCTTTATCAGCCAGGAGTCACTCTGGATTGAAGWCTGTCCTCACGCCATCAGAAAGCTATCCTCTTAGAATCACAGAATCCTTAAGGCTRGCAAAGACCTCTTAGAGCCTTGATTCCAACCATWAACCTATCACTACCAAGTCTACCATGAAAACATGTCCATTAGTGTCACATTTGGACTTGTTTTCTAGAAAGGAATTTTGAAAACAGGTATGAAAGCAAGAAACTGATCTAGGGACTTACTTCCTCAAGTATCATCTCCCAGACCTATTAGGGTGCTACCAAATTGAAGGACCTGTGCATTTTAAGCTTTAGGACACATCAAAAGTCAAGAAGGGAAAAATCTGAAGTAATTGTCTAACCRTGCTCTAACAATATCAAGTTTTTTCACTGTGCTATATTTGCCTTTGCAACAGAGGTGCCAATATTTCTCTTGGGATGCACACRCTATTTCATCTAGTTCTCAGTAATTTTCTTTGGATGCTTAGCTGCATTAATATATTGGTATTTTTATCTTCCTGGCTTAGTCATTCTCTTCCAAAGCTAAAAACCTTCATTTTCTAGAACCGCCTCTGTATTCTTCAAACATTTGTAAATCCATCCATATGGTTCTTTGGCAGCAATAAAATATACTTTTGATTTTAGCTTGGGAAAGAAAGATTGTATCATTTCCCAGGTTTGACACTTCTACATATCRAATCAAGTAACAGTTTTTATTGATTTTTTTCTAGAAAATAAAATTATGCAATTATTACATATATGAAACTGTATTCTCTTAATGATTCTGCTGTATTTGTGGGCATCTGGATCTAAGAAAGTGATACAAAACTTGTTCAGCTTGGAAAGAAATTTTTCCAGTGATTTCTRTGTGGTTTTCACATGAATTGTCAAGGAGGTTTTCTCATCTGGCTCTCAGACTTAGCAGAGTTTTTAATACTTTATTTGTGGAATCACATTTGGTTTTTGCAGTTCAAAAATTAAGATACAGGAAGGAGGAGAGTTGTAATTGCAGGCAGAGAAGAGGTGATCTGCTCTTCAGCAACCCTGGTCTTATAAACACTGGAATTTTTGAAGTCCTGAAAGAAAAAAGGCAATGTTTTCCCAGRAATACCATAAAACCTTTGCTTCAAGGGGCTACACGCTTGAAGACCAAACTCCTGGAAAGACATGAGATAGCATAGAAGGTAATGGTGTGGACTGAGGATCAGAACAATGTCACATTATTCTTGGTGGATTTTTTTCTTAGCTTCTCACTCAGGGTATGGTTGCTGATAGTAGTCAGTTGGCTTGTTGTTTTTTCCCCCCAAATCTGTTTATAGCCTTGTGGCAATGCTTTGCATATAGAGAATCCACCACTGCACSCGGTGCTGTGACCAGCAACAGGGGCTACAGACAGGCACTGTGCAAAGCTGGGAGTGAGATGGCAGGATAGAGAAGAAAATCTGCTGAGTCAGTGGCACTTGTTTCCAAATACACTTTGCATAGATAGTCTGTAAAAGCTACCTGTTCTTGTTACTGCTTTGGATTACTGTGGCTTGAAAAACAAATTGGTATAATTCAGCTTCATATATAATTCTAAATTGTAATAACCTTTGGAAATTGGATGATGTGTTTTGTCCTTAGATCAGAAGGTTGGGTAAACTTACACACTGCTGGAATGAGAGACCCAGAATATCCAGTTAGCCAAGACATTATAATGAGCTCGTGGCAGCACTTTGGCTAGCAYGAATATTCCCTATTTCATATTGTAAATGGTAACTGAAATAAAAATTCAAATTGTCTATTATGGAAATCAAGCTCATCTTTTTTGGTAAGTGGTGGCAATTTAAATAATGACTTAAAATAGTTTGTTGATGTTATTGTGAAATATTCTCAAATCACAGGTATACAGCCATATCACAGTGCTACATTTTACACTTACTTTTCACTTGTACAGATTAGTGACTTAGGTAAAATGTGGGATGTCTGTGTCTAGACCAAGCAAAAAGCACAAATGCCAGTGCTGCTGTACCATGTAGAGCAAACCTGTGGTGCAGCTTCAGAGTATAATTTCATGCTGGCTGCTCATTTTTAAGAGCACTCTGATTCATTAACCCAGTGGGAAGAAAATGGGAAGAAAACCATTAMATTTCTGAACATTGAGAATTTGTGCTCATTTTGGAAAATACCTTATTACCATTGCAGCAATTCTGGGAAGYGCTGGGACTGAAATAGGACAGTGTGGTACAGGTTTCTGCAAGTGTTTTGTCAGAGCCTGAGACCAGGAAAACAGCAGTCGAAGGTGCTGTGTCCTGAGAGAGGGTGAGGAAATCTTCCACAACACAGGTCAAAAATATGKTTTTCTTCATCCTAACATACATCCCTAGATCTCAGCTTCTCTGAGAGATGTTTCAGAGATATCGAAGGACTGTCAGACTCTTGAAYACTGGGTAAGACAAAGAGTCCCTTTACTGAGCTCGTCGTGGCACCCAGGTACCTTTTACAGTGCTGTCACCATAACCCATGTGTCTTTGTGGTAACAGCAGATACACAGACAAGTATGTGGGGACAGATTGGAGATGTGCTCTTCCTCAATGTTCATTCCTCTTCCTDCTGGATTCTTCTTAGAGCAAAGGGTATGGGAACAGAAGAGGGAAAAAAACAATAACAAGAGTGAGGGAACACTCCAGGCAAACATAAGAAGATAACTGTAGAGAAGAAATGCATCCTGAAAGTTTAGAGAGGGAAATTTTAAAAAACCAACACAACACGTAGTGTCTCCTTTAGGTCATTTTGTTGGGATGAGATCAACACAATCGTTGCATTTATTCCTTTAGTATTTCTTTCTGGATTCCTTTTCTGTGTTAACTATCTATTTTTTCATTATTTCTTGTCAGACTTTTCAGCATTTTAGCCAGATCTTTTGACTGTCTTATTGTTGCCCAACATATGAATAGGCTGTCCTTGAGCATGCACTCTATGGGTTTKTTTTTTTTTTTTTTGTGGAGAGAACTAGGTAACGTCAGAATAATTAGCTGAAATTTCTTCCCCTCCCCTCTTCTTTTAAAGACAATTCCTCGTCTCTCCAGGAAGATGAAGAGATAGATATGGAGGCTGTCAACTGGCAGCTGAACAACACCTCCATGAACGGCCATTCATCTACCCCAACTACAGTTCGCTTTCCCAGCTGGGTGACTTTTGATGACAATGAAGTCAGTTTTTCACCACAGAGCCTTTCTCCCTTGAAAACAGATACCCCACCTCCAGAAACACAGGCTCCAGATGTTAACTTCAATCTCACTACATCCTTGAAGAAAAGAGAACGTCCTAAAAGCACATTGGGAGACCTCTCCAAAATTCAAAAACTAGATCTCTCCTCCTTAACCAAGTTGCCTTCTGTTGAAACACCACCATGGAGTGCTACTAATCCCTTTCTGGATGAATCTCTTCGAGATGTCCAGCCCTCGCCCATCAATCCATTCAGCTCATTCTTTGAGGAGCGAGAGAGGCGTTCCAAAAGCTCTTCTGTCTCCAGTGCTCCAGGCAAAAGCCAAAGAGACTCTCTCATTGTTCTCCATCAAGAGCCTGATACCATCAGTTTYCATGAGGCAAACAAAACTGTAACCCACACAGATGCTGTAGAGCAGCTCAAACAGCTCCAGATTGGAGACCCAGATCGTGTGAGCAGTCCTACCTTACCTGATGATGACCCCATGATGCCATATGATCTGGATGCAGCTTTATTTAATCTGACACCAGCTCAGCCAAAGGATGGGTGGCCAATGATGCTCAGGATCCCAGAGAAGAAGAACATTATGTCATCCAGGCACTGGGGACCAATATATGTCAAGCTGACCAACAGTGGATGTATACAGCTTTTTTATGAGAAAGGACTAGAGAAGCCTTTCCGGGAGCTCAAACTTGAAATCAATCATGAGATTTCAGAGCGCAAACTCCAGAACTACGATGAGAACGGAAGGATACACAGTGTGCGGTTGGATCGCACGACATACAAGGAAAAAAAGAAGTATCAGCCTAAGCCAGCCATTGCACACACAGCAGAGAGAGAGCAAATTATCAAGCTYGGGACTACAGATTATGAAGACTTCCTTAGCTTCATCACTGCTGTGCAAGACACACTGATGAACTTGCCAGCTTCATCAACAGATCTGAGCACAGTGGGACTGAATTATCAAGAAGAAGAAATCACTGTGGATGTCAGGGATGAGTTTCATGGCATCTTGGCCAAGGGAGATAGTGTGATTCTCCAGCACAGTGTGCTGACCCATATCTATGTTCTTAGCTTCCTTTCTGGCCTGGCAGAATGTAGGCTGGGCCTTAATGATATCCTGATCAAAGGGAATGAAATAGTTGCAAGGCAGGATATTATGCCCACTACGACCACTAAGTGGATTAAATTATACAGCTGCCGGTTCCATTCATGTGTGGATGAGGATGTGTTTAATAATTCCCGTATTATCCTGTTCAATCCCTTGGATGCCTGCCGGTTTGAACTGATGAGATTCAGGACTGTCTTTGCTGAGAAAACTTTGCCTTTTACTCTGAGGACAGCTGCCAGCATCAATGGTGCTGAGGTGGAGGTGCAGAGCTGGCTGATGATGTCCACAGGGTTCTCTTCCAATCATGACCCTTTAACTCAGGTCCCTTGTGAAAACGTGATGATCCGCTACCCCGTGCCAAATGAGTGGGTGAAGAACTTCCGCAGGGAAAGCGTCCTGGGGGAGAAATCCTTGAAAGCCAAGGTGAACAAGGGAGCCACTTTTGGATCAACCAGTCTGTCTGGTTCTGAGCCAGTAATGAGAGTAACTCTGGGAACTGCCAAATATGAACATGCCTTTAATTCCATTGTATGGAGGATAAACCGACTGCCTGACAAAAACTCAGGTGAGTGGTGCATGCCATCTCTGAGGGAATAAACTAAAACAGGGTATGTGTTTTGTAAGATAAGAAATACTGAATTTAAATGGTGGGTGATATATATCATCCTCTGTAATATACCAAAGGACATAAATTATTTGCATGAAACATTTATCCAACCCTTCATTGTAGTAGTTCTATGTATACTTCAAATACAGCTAATGATAAAGCAGTTCTAGGTTTTCTAGATGCAAAAATACGTATTCTGTCTCTGCTTGGAGGTATTTAAAAGAGGTGTAGATGTGGTGCTTAGGGACATAGTTATGTGGTAGATGAGATTTGTCCTAGCTTAATGGTTGGACTTGATGATTTTAAAAGTATTTTTCAATTGARTTATTCTGTCATTCTCTGATTATGAGACCTAGGCATCAAATATTTGTGTGCTCAGTACTGTTACTGGAAGCAGGGCTTTTTTTTGCCAAAGCAAGATTCTGTGATATGGGGCTGAATGACAGGATCAGATAAATTGCTGTAGTTCCAGCACATGTGATCTTTTCCATGTATTGCCAAACATACTGGGCCAGTGCTATATATTTCATTGCATTTGCCACAATTAATGCCTATAAATTATCTGAAATGGGGATTGTCAGAGAACAGAAGCTGTTGCTCAGTGGTTAAAGAAAAATAGAAATTTCCAAACACCAGTTTGTGGCTATTTTTCTATAATCAGCGCAGACAGGCAATTACAGCTGAAACCTGAAGAGAGAATACCAACATGAAACCCACTTTGTATTTCTGTTCCAAGTCTTTGTATTTCTAGTAACATGGTCATAATTAAACATTTACATAATGTGGGCAAGCTACTGTTCCCTTTGGCTATTGCTGCCAGTCACTCTATTTGCTGCCTGTGATCCATGGTGCACAATAAAGCTGGACAACTCAGGTTTATTTTTATTTGTAGTGAATTGTGCTTCTTGACTTCTCTGATTTAGAATAGCTTTTTACAAATGAGATAGACTTTTCAGTATTAATGGTGTAGTAATGCATCTGGGAGGTTTCTTGGGAGGGTTTCTATATTCAATGTTCCCTGAAYGGAAGTTCATGGTGGTACCAGATTTGGCGCTGTCTAAGGACATATGTTTTTTATGTTTTTCCTGAATTTGTGTTATAGTGCCAGCAAAACAGTGATCCAAATGTCCTAATCTTTTAAATCACTTTCACTTAAATCAGCCCAAGGACACTTGTTTACACCACCGGTTACAAATTTGCAGGGGTATCACTGACAAAAGGGAAGGCTCCATGTTTCCTGTACAGTGAGGCATAAGAAGACAGATCTTGGAAACTTGAGAGAAATATAGCAATGAAAAATTAACCTCAGGCTGTTTATGAGCAATAACACACTTGTGAGGAAAATCTCAGTATGCCATCTGCACAAGCTCTGGGAATGAGATGCTGTTAAACTGGGCCTTCTGTGGTGTCTTCTCTCCAAAGATCTCAGTGTATATAGACATTACAGCTGAGGAGGTGAAAACCCCCAGATTTTAACACAATCACAGAATATGCYAGTAGCAAACCAGGAGAAGAGGCAAAACTCCAGTCTCTACTGCCTCCTGCAAGGTGATGCTGCCTTACCCATCACTACTCGGAGGGAGATACTGATGTGTGCCTCTTGTTTCCATGATCCCATCTCCCATTGTGASTCTATTGTATATACACTGTGACAGGGGGAAATACAGATCTGTTGCTGCTCTTGGACCCCTGCCACAGAGCATCAATCCATCAGTGTCATCATGCAAAACGCAGGGCAGTTGGTATTTGTTTACATCCTGAGAGGAAGAGAGTGTCCTCACCCCTCYGGTCAGATCAGATGTTATTTCAGGGAGAGGAAGAGCCTTGGAAGCACTGTCTTGGCCAAGACACATGAGGTATGTGAGAGGGAGGGAATCCTGAAGTGATGACAGGGCAGGCCAAGTGTAGTTTAAACCTGACCTTGCCCTTCAGGGACTATTTCTATTTACTGCTGGTACTTCATCCCAGGATTCTTCTTTCTCAAAGTATTGGCAAACAAAGATGTATGTACATAAGTAATACTCAAAAGCATTCATTGCCACTCCTTCTTAGATTTGCCTGATGGACCACATACACTTTTGTCCAAGTGATATTGATGTGGGATCTAACTGCCAGCCTTGTGCATGTTTGGCTGTGTCTAGCCCTACTCACAACTCAGATAATAACCCACCTTCACATATTTGCAAAATCCTTATAAACGATGCAGTTCTCAAGCACTAAATATAACTACTCCCTTGACTCACACTTTATGCTCTCTTACTGTGATACCTGTAACTCACCTCTAAAAGCACTCTGGGTCTTCTGTAATTATCTGGCCTGCTAATGAACTCTGGTGAGTGGGACTCTAGAGCAGGAGAGAATTAGTGGCATTACATTGCAGCTGAGGGAGGTGCTGCAGGTGACCACAGTCTGCAGCTCCATCTGCCTCCAGAGGCCACACCATGTGTCCACGCCTCTTGGGGCATAAGCACTGCATGGCTGCTCAGTACATGTGCCTGTGGGCCAGRCGTGCTCCCAGGAGTACAGGCACACATTATGGCAACTTGTGTACATCCACGGTGTGTGCTCTGACACACAGGCCTTTGCAGACACAATTCCAGAACTCCAGAAGTCAGAAGGTAGCCAGCTGGACCTCCTGTGCTTCATTCCATTCCCTGAACACGGACTGGTGCAGTCTCTGTGTAGATGTGAGGGGCATGACCCTCACCCTGCCATCCACAGAGAGCTCGTCCCTAGCAAAGCTCCCTGCTTGCATGCAGTTGTAGTATCCAAAGCACCCAAATTGCTAAGAATTATTTCAGCAGTTTTGCTGTCTTATCTAAATGTTTTCCTTTTGTGCGTTTCTGTGGGATGGGGCCCTTTGCACTCTCACTCTAGGAGACAGTGTTATCAGCACTGTCTGTATTATTTTGTAGCCAAAGCATCTGCTTATGACAGAACATGAAAAGCATATGGCAAATGAAGGACAGTGCATACTCTGATTGTGATTTGACCTGAGGAAAAAGTATAGACTGGATTCTGTACACATTGCTGAAATCCTGTACAAAATAGCTTGGTAAATTTCATTGCTCTTCTCRTATTTAAAATTAATATGATCAAAAGAGTGGTAAAGCCTATTTGCAGGCTATTTACAACTCCAGTTGCTGCTGGCTGGACTTCACATGTTATTTTTGTTTTTTAATCCAGCAGCAGAGTACTAGGGAAACATCCAAATTGACTTTGATCGTGGGAAAGCGCTCTTTCTGTGAAGCAGGGATGTAGCCTCTGTGCAGAGCCTTGGATCTGGATTTGAACTTTTCCCTAGTTTGGCTGTGGATCCCAGGCATGGTGCCTGGAATACTTTTTGAAGTCARTTAAGTCTTCTAATCCAAACATGTTGGGACATTTGGAGCATCGTGAGTCATTTGGAAGAGATTCCCTCCAATCACACTAACACATGCATATATATGAATTATATTATCAGATCCTTGATTGTCAGAATAAACTGGTCGTAGCTCAAGGAAACGAGGTGCAAAACAAAAGCAGTGTGTTGATTTCCTCCTCATTTTACTAAGAAGTGTACCTGTCCATTTGAGAAAGATCTCTGAATGAGCCTGTTGAATAGTCTATAGAGGTTGTGCCTCATGGGCCTCATACCCAGGACAGTAATGAACTCTGATGGGCTAGGTAATTTTTCCATAGCTTCAGGAGCAGTTGCATTCTTAATCCGTTCACCTTGTTATCCACCATGCTGAGCTGATTTAAATTAATAACTTCCTTTTTTTTTTTTTTTTTTAACTGTTGTGCATGGTCTTGTAATGGATTCTCCTACTGGAAGAAAATTACAGTCTCAATTTGAAATTACAATGTCAATTTATTGAAAAATCGCCATGTTAATTACATTGAGGAGGAGGGTATTACCTTTTTTCCCCTTTGTTTCCCTCTGCTTTTTTCCCCCCTTTTTTTGTTTTGAGCCTATGAATATCCACATTTAGGTGTGTTAGAAGACCTTCCTCCTTTGTCTCTATCCTGTACACTTTGTTGACCTGTATGGARAAGAGCCTTCCCAGTGAACATGAGTCTGAAATCCTAAAGCCTATAATAAAGGCAGGCAAGGATACCATTCATTTATTTATGGAGTGATTTACACATACATAGATAATGGGATCCTTTCAATCAGAAAGCCCTGTGTGGCTGTGAAGGTTTTCATCCTCATTTTGCAAGGAGAGAAACTGAGGCAGACACATTGAATTATTTGTTCAAGAGCTTACGGAGTTGGCAGCAGTCAGGAAAAAAGCCACCTTCGTTTGACCAGAAGTCCCTGCTTTAATTTTTAAACATCACTGCTGTCCAGCAAAACAAAGGGGCAAAAATAATAAGGGTTATTTACAGATGACAGAGCTAAGCATTACTTCCTCTCCTTGACATCCCTAATGACTGACCACCTTGGCTTGGGTTCAGGTGAGGAATATATGGTTATTCTGAAGCTTTGAACAAATTTACTTTTTGAACCCAGGAAAGTTATTTAACTTTTACTGTATTTCCAGTACATTTTCTTCTCCTTACAATTTCAAGTAAGGATCAAATATTTCCAAATCCCTCCTTTCCTTATTATGTCAAAACATATCAGAAGGATGTGCCAGGATGTAYTTAGCATGTGACAGACACTGAGGGAATCGAAAGAGGACAAATACCTTTACCCTACTGGCCTTGATTTACTTCTTGTATTTTCACCCACTAAAAGCAAACTAGAGTGATTGGCAATCCTTTTTTCATTTTGTTTAATTTCTTTGGCAACTTCAACTGCATTGAAGCAGGTAAGATATTGTCACTTGTTATGAACTAGGGAGATTTGCAGTTTCCTGCAGCTTCRTGATGCTGCTTTCTCCTAAGGTGTTTGTTTGATTCATTTAACACAACTCTCATGACCGTTTGCTGTCTTTTTCCAGCTTCTGGCCATCCTCACTGCTTCTTCTGTCACCTAGAGCTTGGCTCTGACCGGGAAGTGCCTTCCAGCTTTGTCCGCTATGTCGATGTGGAATTTGACATGCCYACCACTTCTGCCTCCAAAGCCACTGTTCGGTCCATCTCTGTGGAGGACAAGACCGATGTGAGAAAGTGGGTCAACTACTCAGCACACTACAGTTACAAGGTAAAACTGAGCAGTGGCAGTCACCATGGTTACTTTGCCTGCTTCATTGTCTTGAAAAGTAGGGGCAGACAAATAAAATACCATGGACAAAAGAGGTGGGAATTTGGCACATGCCAGGCTGTGTGCAGTAGCCACCCGTGTGCAGCTATTGATTCATGGCAAATAAGCAGTGGATTATCCCCTAGCAAAGATAGAATAAATTTGCTTGCAGTTGTGTGGAAGAGCATGCACACAGCCAGCTCCTGGGGATTAGCTGATACGGTGAGAGTGTGAACAGGGAATTTTGCTATTCTTCATGGTGGGAGTGCTACCGTGGGAGTCTTACTGCAGACAAAAGGTTCACATTGTTTCTCTGCTTAAATATTTCTTCCTTCTCSCTGCCCTAAGGAGAGGAGCAGATGGGAAAGTACACTATGTATATACCTGCCAAAATATCAGTAAATTTGCATGTTAGCTGAATACTCAGCAGAGAAATTGGCATCCTACCTGCCTTCTTTAAGAGCAACGATGAGAGATTCTGAAAAGACTCTCATGGCAAATATTTTTACTCATAATTTTAATTACATTTTTAGAAGTCTCTTCAATTCCCTGGAGATGGTATTTGATCTTCCTAAGTATCCCTTTCAAGAATTAAACACTGAGTTTTTGGAGATATGGAAATTTAGAATCCAAACACAGATRCCCTTGGCCCTGTCCCAGTACAAATTGGTATCTATAGGCCAAAGTACCTCTGAGCCTGAGTACAGCAGGAAGGWTGCTGATATTTGGGGTAGTGTTAGGTACTGCTTCAAGGGGCAGGGAGTTGGGTTTGACAATTCTTATGGGTCACTTCGAACTCAAGATTACTTAGAAAATTAATCTCTTTGCTTTTTACATCAGTCTTTGCAGAATTTATAATTAAGGCTGGTTTTCTGTCACTTAGGAAGCCACCTATCATTTGCAGATTTGGTTCTGGGTTTGTATTCAGAGTACAACTGGGAATGCTAATGAATATAAAATCATGTGAGACCAGTTCTCCATATGACACTATCTCTTCTGGAAATTAGTTCATGACACTGTTGAATTGTAGAACTGCTTGGATTAGACTGAAAATCCTTATAGTAAGTAAAATAATTTTTTTTCTGATCTTCCATCTCTTTTTCCTCACAGCCCTCTCAGTTCACCAAGAGTTTCTTCACCTGAGCACAAGAACCACCACTGAGGAAGATACTTGAATCTTTTGTTTTCCTTTCTCATTWCAAATGTTCTCTCTTTTTCTTCTTACAGGTCGAAATAGAACAGAAAAAAAGCTTGAATGAGGATCTGAAGGGAGAAAGTACGGCAAATGTCAATGAATGTGCTACACAGTAAAGGAAGATTAGTCTGCAAGTCCCAAGAGGGGAGGTCAAATTAACAGACGTGGAAGAAAGGACTTGCAGGGAATGGGTTTTCTTTTGTTTTGTTGGTTTGTTTTTTTTTTAATTATGGACTACTACTTCTAAAATAATGCTCTGAAGAGTGTTATTTTTTTCCTTGTAATGATCCGTACTTTGAGAACTAGATCAGTGGTTTGTTAGGAGCAGATCTGTGGGCTTTTACTGGAACAAAATAAGTACAGTTGTACAGTGAAACCTGCCTTTCTGCCTACCGTCTAGGTTCTGCACTCAAGTGTGGTCTGGCAACCATCACAACTACACCAGAAAACAGCCTTTATCTCACAATMTTGCCCTCCTACATTAAGCCTTTTGTTTCAATGCCTTTTGGTTTGGTCACTGATTGAATCTCTTCCTTCTGGACTGCCAGATAAAATTCAGGGAGGATCAAGTGAAAAATTATATAAAATCTCCTTTCTGAAATGCTCAACAGAGTGAAAACCCTGAGCATCATTGTGGAGAATCAACACAGTCTGCATCTTCACCATGGAGAACGGTCTCTATGTTTAAGCAGATGAACTACAGACAGGACAGCTGATGACAGAGCTGTTCTGTTCACCCCTTCCTGTCTCATCCCCCAAATGACAGAATGTCACTGTGCACATTTTCATGGGGTCTGCACAAGTTACAAGAAAGCCTCTGCAATTTCTTAAAAGTTTTTACTTTTTAGTCGGAGCCGTTCTGGTATCTTGACTGAACATGGTTATGGCTGCTAGCAATAGGGAATGTATGTTACAATAGTGGAGTTACCTGAGGGACACTGCAAAGATTAGATCATTCCTGCCTAGAAAGATATTTAAGGGAAAAACATGGGGGTTTAGTTTTGGGTCTGGGGTTTTTTWATATGTTTTCTTGGATGGGTAAAATGGGTGGTTACTGAAAATGTCAGAACACAATTGYTTTAACAGACAATGTTGTTTGTTTTCCTGAAAATCCTTGGAAGTCTGTCCAGCACAATATTGTTTTCATGTTCTATCTTGAACCTACAATATAAGTAACTTGTATCTTTATAATATTCTCATTAACTGGGCCCCAAAATCTGTTTGCAAAAATTAACAAGTTTCTATCATTGAGATTTTTTTATCCCTACTTAGCTGGAAGTAACAGCAAGTCTGAAAACCTTTTTCTAAATAAAAATGCAGAAGACATAAATCACTCATTTACACATATTTTCAGAGAAAACAGTATTAAAAGTACCCATTTTTAGTTGTTTCTATGGCTTGTATAATATTTTGTCTTGTAATGTTAAATGTAAAGTACGTAATTTATTAAATCATTTATCTTTTGAAAGGTTACTACTGACTTTAAAATACACATTTGGAAAACTTCGGCAGTGTAATTTAAAATCATGAATTTAAATGGAAGCTTTTTTATAAATTAATTTCATTTTACATTTCGTATAAAAAAATTAATACACTCTTGATTTACTACTTTCACTGTGACTCCTATAAAAATTACTACAATGTTAAAATCCCAAATAAAACATGAAATTAATGTCACTGAGTCTGAAACTGGTAGTGGTAGAACTTAAACAAATTGTAGTGAACTTATAAATGCGTTTTTTATATGCACCTGAATTTCAAGCCTGCATCACCCTAGTGACACATACTTGCACAGGTACACCACTGTAAATGTGTAAAGTCTCAGTCCTTCTAGGACTCCTTAMGCCTGTAATATTCCATTGCAGACAGCCCTTCTGGGCCCAGGATGCTCCTTGGAGCACACCAGTTAGTACTGAGCATTTGCAACATCTCTCAGTAAATGGAAGAATGCTGTTAACTTTTATGAAGAATTTTGAGATCAGTTGGTTAAAATTACTGATATTGATGATAACTTGTATAGGTTGTGCACGGRGCTAAATTTGTGACTGATTCTCAGYGCTGTCACAGGCTGGCTGTGATGAGTTGCAYGGCAACTCCTCTCTGCAAGTGTCACTCTTCTGTTTAAAGGCAGTCAAAGAATTTATGGGTGTTTTTTCTGCTTTTCACTGCAGCTCCTAATGTACTGAAATTTCTGAAAGTTTCTGAAATTTCACCATTTCGAAATTAAGAAAAACCAATCTGAAGCAGTGCTGAGATGTTGCTGAGGAAATGTGAGAGTGTGTTGTTAAAGAGGGAGATTTTCTACTCTGATCTGCAGGCTTAGTGTCTCAATTTTTGTCTATTGCCCCTCAGCTCATGGRAATAAGTAATACAAATTAGTGAACTAAGAGGGGAGAAAATAAAAGTAATATGATTTTCCATCTCTGTTGAATTGTTAAACTGTTCAGCCTCTATCATACTTGCGCCACAGAATATTCTGTGTTCCTGAAACTGAAAGATAAACATTTTGGAGGTTTGTGGATTTACTTAATTTCTTTAGCACTTCATCACAGATTTTTTTTTTTTTTAATTCAGTCAATGAATGAAAGAGTATGGACCTGACCCTAATCTTCCTTATGTAGTCAGTTGTACACAGAAGTTTCTCTTCCAGCTGTCATAACTGAAAAAGTGTTCTGGTTTATATGAAAGCTATTTTAATCCATTCTGATCTCCGGAGAGTGTTTTTATATGTTTTAGATGCCACTGGATTTTCAAGAGTTGAATACCTCAGCCAAAGTTTCAAAGCGTTTTATTTCCCATTAAAGGACTGGAGCAAGTAGTCTGATTTTTCACAACAGTGCTAACAACCAAAACCTTTAAAAAAMCTAATGTTGGTGTCACCAGGTGTTACAACTGAATTCTTTTTTTAGTCCAGCACCATTATGAACATTGAGATTTTGAACACTGGGATCCTAAGTGCCCTTAATGAGGTCTCCACTGTTYTTTATTGATTAAACAGTGCCAATTTTTCAATGTTATACACTGTCACATATGTACTTTATGTGCATATTCTCTTCACCCATGTGAGTATAGTAGTAATTTGGACAGACTGTTGATTGGAGTGAAGGGGAAAGATAGGAGAAGTTTATGAGTTTGAAAGTAGCAGAAATTATTCAGATACAAGCTATGCTTGTAGTGGGGATGATTTTTCTTTTTTTTTATCATGCAAAAAGATCTCTTTGACTAGTTTCAGATTAATACTTTAGAGAAAGATGCAGTCACTGTCATTTGGTATTTTTGAAAGCTTTGTATTACTCAAATACTCCATGCAGGAAATGTGCCTTCAAAGTAAGCATACGTTTACTCCCTGAAGCTATTCTCACTTTCAGTCCTCTTTCTGTTTCTCATTATGGTTTTAATTTCTGTAGTGTGGTAAGACTTGGGGAATTGTATGAAATCTTGCCTAGAAAAATAGTCTTTAATCACAAGGRGTAAACATGAACAACATCTTCAGGCAGCTGAGCTTATTTTAGTTAATGTCTCTCACATTTATTAACTATGGACTCTGCTAGAAAAGGAAAATGGGTAAATTCAGCTGAAAAATACTTAAACTGATTGTTATTTTTTTTCTTTTTTATTTAGACTCAAATTTAGTCATCCTATGAAGGAGTCAGATATAGCAGTATCATTAAAAACACTGCAGAAATAATTTTTCTTTTCTGGTGTGTTGCTGGCTGACATATTTACTTGATAGGACATCTAACACCTGTCCACATTATTTAGTAGCTGCTAGAACTGCCTCTTGAACAGTCACCTCCCAGGATAGAGGGCAATTGCATGCAAAAGAGCATGAAAGCAAGTGGAGAAGGTGTACAAAGTTCAGCCTGGAGGTGCTTACTCTTTGGCTTGCATAAAATTCTCAGTAATTTTCTTGGCCCTTCARTGCACTAATCAAGCCCTTGATAGGTCACTTCTGTTCCAGATGATGAAAAATTCTTTGCAGTGACTCTTAGCAGTTTGTGTGCATAGCTGTATAACCTCCAGAACTGACCAGTACAAGAATTTGCAGCACACAGAGATCACTCATGGGTGAAGTACCTACCCTCTTCTGCCACTGAAGTTAAACCTACATCATGGCATGTGTAGGACACAAAATTTTGTGTGATAACATGCACAGCTGTTCTATTGTTCCTGTTCTGTTCAGCCAGGCAGCCACCCACTCACTCACACATTGATCCATCCATCCTCCCATCCGTCCTACCCTCACTCCCCTCTCTCTCTTTCATACTTGCAATTCATTCTTTGCACTATTGACATTAATTGGTTTAATTATTATTTTGTAACATGTTCCTACCTTTTTGTTTTGTAAAATAAGTCTATACACTGGCTAACTTCGTAGAAGTGGTTTATTTTTTTTTCTTTCTATTTTATCAGTTGAAATGGGATGTCATGTTTTGTTTAAACTACGTGAAAATTTAAATAAATGTTAAGATGAAACAGCATATTCACATTTTCACTGTGAAATTGAAGTTGTATGTGATGTATATTCTGGTAAATCAGAGGTCTCAAATTCAGAAGAGGAAAGGGAGCATTTTGAATAAAGGACAACATAAAYCAGAAATAATGGGACTACGTACGGAAAAGAGATTATTTCATTTGACCATGCAGATTAAACAACAGACTGCAATGGAAATAGATCAGGCCTAGAGCTTGAGCCAATAAAAGATATTTGCAGGAGTTCTGCAAATAATAGGTAAGATGGTTCCAGCATTTGAACAAATCCATCCTGAAACAAAGCAATTGAGGATTAAAGCCTCTGCTCAGTGGTCTGTTCACTTCTTTGACCACTAAAACCAGGAGTGTACAAAAGGGTGATATCTTCCTGGGATCAGAACATCTGTTTGCAAAGCAAGTATAAGCTCTAAAGTACATAGAATCCTCTGCTTCTCTGTTTCTTTCAAAGTTCAGTAGGACATGTATCATTTCATACCTCTTCCCACTTTTCTCAGAGTCACTGAGATCCCCTTCAGTCTTTTTCTCAAAAGCATTCCTTGTGTCAAACTGAAGAGCTGAGTACTCTCTTGGCTAGAGAAAATCAGATACCCATCATAAGGGCTGTTCAGTGTATTGCTCTGAGCTCAGTGCAAGTGACAGTCATTTTACAGTATCAGAAAATGGAGGTGCACAAGGTGTGACGCCTCATGTTCATTATTCAAGACTGAATCAGGTCAGCCAGAAGAAAGAAGGAAAKTTTAAAAAGATTCAGGGGCTGTTAGTACAAGCAGTTTATTTGCTACAATTAAGATACTCGGTGATTTTTGGAAATTAACATACTGATAGATTGCTAATATGCATAATGTTTTAAAAATAAAGACTTAGAGAAAAAAAATGAAATTTTGAAACCAGGGAGCTCAAAGGTCCTCTGCAATAGTACAGTCCTTAGAGAGAAGCCAAAATAACACCCTACAAGAGATGGGGAAGTCAGAGTGCCAGTGCAATGTGTACCCAAAACAAAAGACATCACTAGAGTGAGATAGCACAATTTGGAGAAAAAAAACGCACAATTTCCTTTCAGTGCTCTTCGTTTCCATGATTGCCTTCCCTGGCTAGTCCAGATATGTTGCAAATCTGTAAGACAAAAAGTGCTGAAGGTCAGCTGGGGATGAAAAAAAGATGGAGGAGCAACCCACTATTTTAGCTTAGGTGCAAGTCTGGGTCACAGCAGATGTGTCTGAAACATGAAGTGCACTGGTCCCAGAAAAAAACTGTCCTGGTTACAGTATCAGAAGCCTAACAGAAATTGCTGTGTATAAAAAAGTAATTGGGATAGTATTTTATACACCAGCTATGAAAGGTGTCTTTCTCAGCCCTGAATAATGGGACACTAAAGCCTCATGGAGACTCATGGGTGACTGTAGTTCTGCCTTCAGTAGCGCTGGGGTGCTGCAACAAGTGGCAGACACATGCTGGGGTTCAGGAGGTCTGGCCAGACTGGTCCTTCCCTGGTTGGAGGCCTTCTCAGCCTCCCATTTGTCACTGCCCCAGAGATGGAGACAAACTGGGAGCAGTCAGCTTGGCCTAAAGAGCTTCTGAAGGAAAAGGATGAATACAGGCTGAATACAGCTGAAAGTAACTTCATAAACTGAGAGCCTCTTTTATAAAGGTTTCCCTGATGCAAAACTGAAAAGGAGGACACATCTCCTCTGTRGAAGCAAACAAATTTGTTAGGGCATGGTCAGTTCTGCAATTGTACTAATACAGAGAGTACTCARATTTAAAGGGAATGAAGTGGGGAAWSCWYMTGTCATTGCACAGATGCAGGCAGAGTAGCAGAGTTCTGACTTCAGGTCAACCAAGAGAAAAGCAAAATTGCAGAGTTTTCAACTGACATCAATAGCATTCACCCTCTATGGCATCCCCTGTGCCCATCTCCATTTTATCCGAGCCTTGCTTCTCACTGCAGGAGACATGGGTGTGTTTTGATTTTTTTTTCTTTCCCCAAGCTGTTACCGGAACCCCTTTGCTGTGGCAGTCAGGAAGTGACGGTGCAAGGGGAACACCCAGGGGAGTGCTGGTGTCAAAATGGGATATGCTGAAGGTACAATCCCAGCAGAGAAAAATGTGTGCTAATACCTCATGAAGTCCTGTGACCACTCAGGAACKATGCAAAAACATGGAACTTGGGGAGTTCCAGCCTGCAAACACTGACTGTGGAAACAAAGGAACAAGTATTTMCTAATATAAATAAAATAATAATATGAATGTTATGAAATAATTGAAGGCTTTTGAACTAATAGAATTAGATTTGGATCTGAACCACGTTGTCAATCAGCTCTCAAATTGTTCAGGGCCAGCAGACACAGTAKGATGAGACTGAGTTGGCTGACATTTCTGCTTGGTAAATTGGGTCTGTGGTATGGGTCCTACCTGGAGAAGTGAACCACAGATTGGAACAATAAGGCMTTTAGCTGCATGCTCACACTCCCTGGTCCTTGGAAGTGAAGGGACTGTTGCTCTCTAGTGGTTACTGACCAGCTGTTGCCAGTACAACTAACCTCCTGCATCCAGCAGCCTCAATGTATCACAAGACTCTGAACCCCGTGCAGAATTTGCTCTGTTGGAAACTTGCTGGATCACAAAATTGGATGTAAGAGTTGACTACCTCAGCTGAGCCCATGTTTAGTTGAGAAAAGGACGACAAATTAATTTTTCAATTGTTTTGACTAGTCTTTTCACCCAAATTGTCCTTACCTGTCTGCACAGTCATGCACATATTCAGTTTAAATTTACACATAAAAAGTACTTAAAATACCTCCAACAAAAAATGCTGTAATAGGAATAACATTTAACTGCTGTCTATTAAAAAAAAGTGTATGTGTGTGTAGGCATGTAAAGATCAATACAATTATGCATTGAGGGAAAGAACAAATCAAAAAACAGGTTTGATTTCTTTATTTTCTGGACACTCTTTAAAAAAGCCACYCCCCACCACCCCGAGGTAAGCCACTGAGGCTCAGTCCAAGTCCAGGCAGCCAAACCCACTAATCCCATCTGCTCAAGCCCCATGCAGCTGCTGCCTCATTCTGGAAGTACTAAATTCCCAGAAGCTCTCAYAAATTTGCATGAAAGATGCCTGCAAACACCTACTGTTCCTGTGTGTGACAGTTCTATACAGCCCAGTC